CTGCCACGTCCTGAGGACTCGTGTCAAGTGCTTTGCTAAGCTTTTTTACACACATTTCCTCAATCCCTAAAAATCCCAGCGAAATACAAACCAGCATCACTTCTAATGTATAGTTCTAGAAATGAACACGCAGAAAGACTACTTTTAGCTTGCTCCATGCCCTCACAGCTGCTAAGTGGCAGGGTCAGGATTCAAACCCACATCTGTGACTCCAAAACTCAGAGGAGTGCTTACCACAAAGCTAATGAAGCATAAACCTCAAGGCCCCCATTTGCGCAGGTCCCTTCGAGGCACTGGGAGGGCCTTAACAGCGTATTCAAACGGTCATATGTTATTTAAAATTTTACAAAACTAAAGAAAACCGTAATAGCTGGTTTCCTTAGTCAGTTAAAACCACCATTTCTTGCTACCGTTCTTCTCTCCCTCAAACTTGCCCCGGTGTTGGGTGGAGCTAGGCAGTTTGGAAAGCTGGCTGAGAGGAATTTGAGCTGGGTAACTATGAGATATTGAGTTTGGGTTTGGTGAGATACACTGATGTAGCTCACACTCACTTCTGTGATCGTTAAGTATTGCAGGCTGTCTCTCTGAAGGAATGGTTTCCAGGAATATTCCTGCTGTCCCCAGTGCCCACTCACCTGGCCTTGTGACTCGAACACACAGGGCCAGAGGCTGGATTGCAAACGTGAATGTGGTGTCTGTCTTCAGCACAGGAGGTATGTGGGAAATGGAGAAGAAACAAGAAACTTTCAAAAAAAAACAAACACCCCAAAACTATTAGTAATCAAAACTAATCTGTATCTTTCTATTCCCTTTCTAGATAATGATATCACAAAACTGTTACCATATGAAGAGGCAATCAGAGAATAAGCAGCCAAATAATACAGGAAAAAAAATAGATGTATCAGGCAGTTAATTAATTATAATAGTGTGTTATTTTTCCGGAATTTTGCTACGGTCTGCAATATATATCAGCTTTTAAAACTTTGTATATTGTGGGAGCTTCTTTTCTCATTCTTTTTTTTTTCAAGATTTTATTTATTTATTTGAGATAGAGAGAGAGAGAGCAGGAGCATCAGAGGGAGAGGGAAAAGCAGGCTCCCCGTGGGGCAGGGACTTGATCCCGGGACCCTGGAATCATGACCTGAGCTGAAGGCAGACACTTAACTGACTGAGCCACCCAGGTGCCCCTCTTCTTTTCTCATTCTAATAGTTACTTTGGTAGCTAACATTTTGATTATAATCTTCTTAAGGAGAAACCCCCAAACCTGGAACTGACGCTGCTCAAACTCATGCTTTTAGCAACAGTGGTATTCTGCCCCCTCCTCCGGTAGGTTCACCAGTTCTGTGTGGATGGAGAAATGGGACTCTGAGGTCTGGAAAAGCCCCAGCTTCCTGCACTTTAGAAAGTGCTACAGGGGTCCTCTAAGGGACACGGGAGGCCGCCAGCATCCTCCAGCCTAGGGTGCAAGAGCACACAAAGCCCTGGCCTGCCCTGGGACACATCCAATGTTTTCAGGGGCCAGAAGAGGGGGTGCGGAAACTTACAAATCGCCTCGCTTTTTGCAATGTGCAGTAGCTTTCCGTCCAGCCGCAAATGGAATTTGCCGGTGAGACTTCATTGGCCTTCTCAGTCTACAGGGCTTTTTTGGGCGCTCTCTCAGGAGCAAGGATGCAGGTGTGAGCAGCTGGGAGCGAGTGCAACTGCTGTACATAGGTGTTCTGCCGCCCTGGGGGCTCGGGGGCAGGGAGCACAGAAATAGGGCTGAAGGCAGGTGGCCGCTGGTGCCCTTGGAGTCAGGGGTGGGGCTGACTGCGTCCTCCGAGCTCTCCCAGCCCACAGCACCCTTCGTTCCGGCCCAAGGCCGTTCCAGCAGCTGCAGGGCGGGAGCCGGCCTTCCCTTCAAGAACTTGTCCTCTTTGTGGTTTTCACTTCTCCACCTGGTGTCTGGACTGCAAATTACAGGAGGGGACGCTGCATCGGTTCTCCCCACGGAACAAAGGGACTGCGGCCGACTGCCGCTCCCGGAGCGCCCCGCCCCCCGCTCCCCTGGCAGCCAAGCAGCGCCCGAGCTGGTCACAGTCGTGGAGGACGCCTCACCGGCCGGCCCACGAGAAGCTGCTTGGCGTGGGGAGCACCACCCTTGTCGACTCCAGGGTTAGAGAAAATTATTGTACAGACAGAGCAGGTCTCATTTGGAATTCTAGTAAGCAGAGAGCCTGAGGAGGGAGACTCACAGGTCTAAGAACAGCATGACACAAGCCTCAAAGGCTGGCGAGCCTGCCCTGGGGTATCCTCTAGAGTTATCTGTCTGTTCCTGGCTTAGGAGGGCTGGGCCCAAGGGTTATTCCCCAATCTGTCTCTCTTTATGTCCCCCTCTGAATGAATAGCACACACAAGAGTGAACACATCCAATATAGCCCTGCTATTCTGCCATGTGACCACAGGCAAATTGAATCCCATTCTGCACACAATACACACATACCATACAATTCCATACACAATATACATACACAATAGCATAAGTGGCATTTGGGCTAATGTTCTGGGCTGAACTGTGTCCTTATGTTGAAATTCTTATGTTGAAGTCCTAACCCCCAGTACCTCAGACTGTGACTGCCTGTGGAGATACGGTCTCTGGAGAGGTAATTAGTCTAAAATGATGTTATTAGGATGGGTCCTAATCCAAGGGCCCTTATTCAAAAAGGAGATTAAGACACAGACATCTGCCAAGAGAAGACCATGGGACAACATGGAGAGAAAAAGACCATCTAGAACCAAGGAGGAAGGCCTCCAAAGACATGAACCCTTTTTCCATCTTGATATTGGACTTCTAGCCTCTAGAATTGTAACAAAATAAGCCCGAGCCAGTCTGTGGTACTTTGTTAGGGCAGCCCTAGCAAATTAATATGGATAATAATAGCACCTTCGCTGTCTCAGACATCACTGTGCAGGAAAAGATATTCCTTCAAGACTAATGTTGCCTTGTGTTAACATACTGATTGCTGGGAATTTCACATTTGGCATTTTGCAGCCACTGGTCTAGGCCAGGCTTGAGGATGCTTCTGTCAGATCTCACAATGATCCTTGGGGAAACTCATCGGCACCTTCAGTATCTTTTGGTGAGTTCCCATGCTTGCCATAACCCCTGATACTATTAGGTTTCTTTAGCCTGTGGAATCCTCTATTCCTCTTCATGTGAGAGTCTTATCATAAAACAGGAAAGAAAGAAAAAGGGGGCAAATGGTAAATTTTCTTGAGTAATCAATTGGTTCTAAATCAGGTGGGCTGGGGCTGGAGAAAGGGGGAAGACCAATATGATGTGATGGGCTGGCTATCTCCAGTCTGGTGGGGAGAAGGGAAAGGGAGAACAAAGTTGCTAGAGCAAAAAGAGAGGATCTAACCTTGGAAGAGAGAACCTGGGAAGAAGTGTGAGCAGGCCCCAGAAGAAGGAACAGCCTGCAAGAGGGAAGTGAGTGCACAATGTCTAGGGGAGTGCTGTCCAACAGAACCTCTGGTGATGATAAAATGGTCTATATCTGTGCTGTCCAATAAGGTAGCCACTAGCCCACCATATGTGGCAACTGAGCATCTTGAAATGTGGTTAGGTATGACTGAGCAATGGAATTCTTAACTTAGTTGTAGTTATTTTAAGTGTAACTATAAATAGCTGAGTATGGCAACAGTGTTACATAGCACGGTTCTGGAAGTCATGGCCCACCATTGCTTGCCTACTCAATGGCTACCTTCCTTTACTCTTGCTCATTAAATTCAGTTTTATTCAGGTAGTCAGAAGCCATGTGTTTTAGGGGAGAGAGAACTCCTTCTGAGCTCTCTAGAGGGAGGGGAATGTTGATCAGTCTAAGCCAGAAATGATCATTACATTCCCCTTGAGAGTGATTGGTTGAGGAATAGGCAAATAATGCAAGTCCCGCTAGTGAGATGTAACAGGAAGTCTGCCAGAGGATTCTGAGAATGTTCTCCAAAAAGGGTCCTAAAGAGGGCATAGTCTGTCTTCTGGTTCTTATATTTTTGTGTGAATATCTGATGCTCCAACTTGCTGGAACTCTCTCATGCCCCTGAGGGGACAAAGGCAAGTCTGCTGAGGATGGCTGATATGAAAGGTGGAAGGAACCTGGGTCTTCAGTGACGTTGACTGGCTATGTCATAACCAACCTTGGAATTGTCTTCGTTATAGGGAATAACAATTCCCTTTATTCCTACGGATATTTGAAGCTGGGTGTTCGGTGACATGCAGTGAGAGGTATTCCTTTGGGATTAGTCCGTGTTTCTGCCTTTGATAGTAGTGCTACGAAACACAGCATTTTTTCTCATCATTCTTCTCAGACGACCATTCCAAGCAGCCACCATCAGACAAGTGAGTTAATAGGCTAGATAAAAATCTGTTTGCTATTCCTGTTCTAGAGCAAAAGAACACAGACACGTGCTCTGCCACCAGCTCCCCCACGAACACTTTCTTCCCAATGGTCCTGGCTAACAATCAGAAAGTGTTCCTGTAACATCAACAATACCTCAGGACTCATGATCCCGGCCCACAGAAACAATTCAAATAAGCCCGAATCAAGGGAAACAGATTTTCTTGATGCCTAAGCATAGAAAGGACAGTCCTTATTTTTAAAGGGTCAATTCATGCTTAGAAGAGAAGTCAGTCGCACGGCAATCTTTATTTGAATATAATGGAGCAAAAAATGCTCTTTTATTAATAATCCGATGTACATTAAATATCTTTGCAGCTGTTACATGAATGTTAGGTATCTGGCAAGTAAATGTATGCACACTTCCACATCTGATAGATTTATGCTGTACACGAGTCATCCCACATGGAGCATGCCCGTTCACAAGGATACGCACGGATGACTCGGGACATTTGTTAAAACATACTTGGTCAAACATTTTGGCAATCGGGAATCAGACACAGAGGAGCATACCAGAAAGATGAGTTCACAATAGGACCAGCTGTAGGGAAGATGGAAACTCCAGAAACCTGAAACAGAATTTATTGGGGTTCACACATGCAGCACATATATACAGTACAACTGGGGTAACTAGAACATTCACAGCAGGAGGTCTTACAGAGCAGTGAAAACAGGAAAGGAACAAGACAGAACAAAACAAAACAGCCGAACGCCAAAACCAAGGACGGGACCCCTGCCAAGATCTCGCTGCGAAGGAGAGTGGATGGTGGGCTTAGCATGTGTCCAAAAATGGAGGTTTACCTGAAAGAAAAAAAGCCCTCGCAGGACTTTATTTACAGTATCTAGACATCAGTGAAGGACACATGATCTATTCAACATGTTCCCGGGTCAGGTCGAGGGTACATAACCACTTTTTAGATGTTATAAAAGCACGTATCAAGAAAGAACATTTCTTTTTTCTTCTGTTTGATTCAGGACATAGATTTGGCACAATAAATGTCTAACAACAGTGGTGGAAGTGAGATTAAGCAAATCTGTCCAGTTCTATCCAGGCAGGCCTGGTGAATGTCAAGGGCAAGGAAGGAGTTTCCTTCTTGGACACCTACTTGGGTGTGGGAGGGGAGACACTTCATAGCTTCAAACGAGCTTATTTTTGTTCGCACAGCATACATTAGTCAACTTACTGTACATTCTCCCCGAAGGAGCAATACCCATAGGAAGCGGCAGATTCTCTGCACGGTGGGTCCTGTTCTGAGTCAATACAAATGCAGAAAGAAACCCTTCGTGTACTGACGTGAGGTTGAGCTTGCTAAGTCTTTCCTTCCCTCGGACATGTGGGCGATGCTGACCCACAAACCTACAGGACTCAATTTGGTGTGGCCTGGGTCCGTGCAGTGGGAGGCCACACAGCGGTCGGGGCTTCGGGGCTAAGAGTCTGCTCGGCAGCCTTGGTAGATTTCCACGGTGTAAATCCTCCCCTCCACCCCCTCCGGCTGATTCCAAGCTATGAATGTGACGTCACTGAATGTGGAGTTGGGAAGATGTGTGCAACAGTCTACAGCATCTCTACCATCCAGAGACCACAGTGTCCATCACCCCAAGGGCACGGGTGATGCTAACGTGTGGTAAAATAATTAGAAAGCGATGACTTTCGCATATTTATTATTGTAAGTTTACATAATCTAATTTTTAGTATAATGGCTGTGTTTCCCAACTGGCTCACAAAATGCCCGAAAGGACTGCCTCTGGGGAACGGGTTTGAGTCTGCTCCCGCACATCGCTGGCTTTCGGGGCCCCCGTTCCCGTGAGCAGGCTCCGCCAGTCACTCTACACCCCTGCTTCTAGGGTGGTCTGCTAGGCTGGTGTTAAGCCCTGTCGGAGTCTGAACAGAGGGCCGAGGGCTGCTTTCTCCTCCTCCTAGTTTTGGGCACTCTTGGCTCTAAGGGGAGTCTGACTGGCAGGGTAGGCAGGGAGCGGGCAGCCTCTGCAATGTCAGCATTTAAATCGGAATAGAAAGCCCCCAGCCTTTGGCACCGAGCAGACCCTCTGCAGGCCCGGAGCAGCGCCCCTACCTCCCAGGGGTCAATGAATTCCGAGAGCCTTGCTGCGGGCTACCTCGTCTTTCTTTTGGGAGTCCAATGCTAAGGTCTCAGACTTCTGCCCCAGAAATGGGCCTCTTTCGGGTCCCATGCCAATGGTGGCCATCTCATCATGCACGGGAGGGAGAAGCAGCTAGAAATCTCTGGTTCACGGAGCTGTGTCAACACCCACAGTCTGGAGCTTAGACTCCCCGCACCCACTGCCATTCAACACCTTCTTCACCCTTTGGGCCTCCACCAGAGGCATGGATGGGCGCATCCTTCAGTCCCAAGTGTGCCAGGAAAGCTTGGCCTGGCCTCTGTGCACGGCTGGAGTCAAGAGGTGACCAGAGGAGGCAAGGAGGAAGAAGAATAGATGGAAAAGAAAGGAAGTGAGTGTGTACGGCCGCGGGGAGGTAAGGAGGAGAGGGTTTGTGGGTGAAAGAGGAAATCGGGGCTCCCAGAGGGGAGGGGGGTCCCCACCAATTACTCTCTCTGCTCTGCTTCCCCTCAGGCCCCAGAGCCCCAAAGGTCCTTGTGGCTTCAAGACACTTGGCAACAGCTCTGCACTGGTTTTGAACTAAAATCCGAAAAGCTCAGGCCACTAACGGTCAGAACCTGTTTTCTGGGGAGCTTATCTGCCGAGGCGAGAGGGGGCAAAGCGTCTCCAGCCTATCTGCAAAGACAGTGGACGCCAGTCTTCAGAATCAGAAAGGAAACAGCTCGGGAAGCTGAGGCCAGGGGACAGGGCTGCCGCTGAGTGGGGCGCTGACTTCACTCTGGGCCAGACCTCCCGGCCCCCACCTCTCGTCTCGGGCCATGGAAAGAACTCCGGGACTTTAAAAGCCAGCGTCTCTACGGAGAAGGGGCTATCTTTGCGGCTGCTACCTTCCCTTGAGTGACACCTCAGCGCGACTTCATGCCGAGGCACTCAACGCAACAGCATGTGTGCCTTCGTCTCTCTCATTTCCCAAGGATTAGTAGCAGTCCCTCCAACAAAGGCCGAGAAACTGAGGGGCCTTCTCCTCCCATCACAGACAGTCCCAATGCCTGAGTAGTTTCTCGACTGCCCACCGTAGGCTAGGGCTTCTTTTAAATTTGGGAAAACAACACTTGGTGTTTATAGGGCGGGGGCTTCCATATGAGACCCCATTGCCGCTGTTTTCTCTTTCACGCCCATTTCCTCTGCCTTCACTCAAGTCCCTAAAGCGTTCACTAGCGGCTTATAACCCAGCACAGGGAAGAGCTCCATCAGTATGTACTGAATAATCACATGAAAGGACAAGAGACCAGGCAATGCTCTCGCCACCTCTTTGCCCCACCCAGCCTCGCCGGCCTTAAACAAGGGCCTAGACAGATCCACGAACCGTATCCTTGTAACTCAGAATCCTGGGATTACTGAGATCTAGGTATTGTCGGAGAAAGAGCCAAGAAGGCTCTGGCAAAGCTGTGTCTGGTGGGTGGGATGCTGCTGATAGGAGGGATGGAGCAAGGGAACATCACACGGAGAACTGGCACTCCATACCCGGGACAATAAAGGGACACATATGTCTAGGAGACACTGAGAATTTTCTTTTGTCTACGTCATACATACTGCGAGGAAAGCTCTTCTCAAAACATACATTGTTTGGCAGAAGCGAAAACCGTAAGAAATGTATAGTTCATCTGAGTGCCCTGTGGTGTAGAGTTCTTTCTGTTGTTGCCACATAACTTGTGTGTCTGTAGCTTTGGTCACTGAACTAAGTTCAGCATGACATGGGGGTTAGAGGAAAACCAAATATACACCAATATGAACCTTACCAACCAACCACTTGTCTTTCTAGGATACCAGGTAAAAGCCAAATTCAGACATCTCCGACTTCAGAGCCTTTAGTGCACTGAACAGATGAAGAAAGAGATAAGGGCCATTTTGATATTAAATAGAAAAGACTGGAGACTGTCATATTCTATTTTGGTTGGCAGAGGGAATCAAAAGGTATGCCCACGAAATGACTCTGAAATGATCCCAGGGTTTAGAAAGGCTCCAGTGTGCCCTTCACTGGAACCTTCTCTGCGGTATCTTGCACTGTCTCTGACACTACATTTCTTTCCCCACCTCTCCCATGATATCTAAAGACATCCAGAGAAGCAGCGAAGCAGGTTTTGGTGCACATCTGCAGTCTGCTTTGGTGAGATTTGTAAATGAAGGTGCATTTGCCAACTTAGGGGTATCAATTCAAGACTCAGTTTCTGCAGCCATAGGTCTTCCTATTTCAAGAACAAAAGGGAGAAAAGAGGACAGCTACAGGACACAGCCTTTGGGAGAGCATGGTGACCAGAGAGTTTTCTAACCGTGTCCATGTGGCGGGGTGGGTCCCTTTCCTGAGCAGGCAATGATAACCATCAAACCAGCACTGAGTGGAGATAATGTTCAGGATCCTAAGAAGCGGGCAGCACACACACAATATAGGAACTATGTTTTCTGGCCTATTCCTAGGGGCTTCCCAAACAACCTGCCTACTTGGTAATTTGTCCGTTCCTAGACTAAACCTATTTGGTGCTTGCGAAGATGAGTCCAGCATGAAGGAGGCGGCTAGGGCCCATCTATCTTCTCTCCCAGGGTCACTACTCTGGGTGTAAGGTGATCCCCGGCCTCTGGGTTTGGCATTCTGGATTGATTCCAAAGAGCTAGGAGGACATTTTGGATAGAAAAGGAGTCAGAAATACAGGAGCAAGTGGAACGGTTTCCTAGGCGTCCCTTTTGGCACATACTCTCGTTTTTCTTCTTTTGTGGATGAAACGAGATGCTGGTCACAGGTCCCGGCGCCAGCAGGCTGCTCCGTGGACAGAGCTGAGTTCCTGTGTAATCACACGGCTCTATCTTAAGCCAGCTAACCCCACAACAAGCCAGACAGGCCCTGCCACATACTTCGGGGACAACCTGAGCTCTCTCAGAGAAAATCAAGGTGATGGGAACAATGCAAAGGAGGCAGAGAAAACTGCATGGAAGGTGGAAAAGGTGGTGACCAAGAAGGTTTGTGACCACAGACTGTCCAGGAGATTAGAATAGATCCCTCTTGGGCCACCTGGGAGGCTTGGATCAGGTGACGGGAAGGCCAAGAAAGGCCCTTGTGAAGGGGATGTATGGTGTCAGGTCTCACAAAGTGGGGTTCTGCTCATTTAATCTCATTCTGACCCAGCCAATGTTCAAATAAAACTCTGCATCTGCTAAGCTCTGCAGCTTGGGAGACTTTGTACACATTTAGTGCTACAACAGACATGTGAGACATTTATGATAGTGGACTTTGCTTACCGGACTATCTTCACTTTCAGAAAGCTAAGAAGACTAGAGACAACGACATCCATGCACATTTCTCTTGCTTCTGAATGGGCTGATGAACAAACACATCTTACTTTGGTAGTTGTGATTGTACATGCTGTGTTCAACTAAAACAGCCCTGCTCGGGTCCTCACATGCGCCTCTTTGAAGAAGATGAATCAAGGGGTAGGTAGGTAGGGAAATGAATCCACGTGGAAGAATAATATACAGGCTACCTTCCCGGGTTGTGTGAATGCTAGCTTTGTTCTCCAGGAATATTACAGAGGCAGAAGTGAGAGGCGGTTCCGTTTCTTTCCCTGCTTTGCTGGCATCAGCCCAAGAGATCTCATCTAGTCTTGTCTGATTCTCCCTCTTTCTGCCACCTTTGCAGTTTGGGGTTGGCGTTTTGCTGATGTTCTGGCCCTGGGCTGACCTCCCCAGGGAACCACCCTCTTCCTGCCAGCCTCCAACACCAGGCTGCCCCCTTTACAGACCTGAATGACTTCAAGGGGTGATCGATTCATGGCTATGTTCATGAAAGAAATGTTTCAGAGAGTCAGAACTCTGCACTCTGGAGCTCCAGGAGCACCATTAGGAAGGGGAGAAGGAGGCAGAGGGCCTTTGGGGTCAGGATGGGGCTTTGAAGGGAATGGCTATTGGAAACAAAGGCTCTCCCTTCCCGGGGACCCGGGGCTGCAACCTGCTGGAAATGCTATAATAAGTAACAAGGATAACCCTTTGACAAGACAGAGTTAAAAACAGGAATACTGTTTTAATATGGGATTTATTCCTGGCTGCTGGTCACTGCTGCAAGTCTATAAGGAGGCTTCAGATTTCAAAGAAGATGAATAAAAAGGATGAGCCTGGAGGAGGGGCAGGCCTGAGGGGTGAGAAGGTCGCAGAGCTGACAGCCCGTGGGAATGTCCTGCTGACCTGTCTTCCAGGGCCAGGAGGATTCCAGAGGTAAAGCAAGCAGCCCCAAACCACCTTGTCTGCCAGAGGGCCCCTTGCTTGGACTAAGCCGGCTGGGGTTCCACTCAGAGCTGGCAGCCGGGAGCACAAGGACCAGTGGAAGCTAGAGGAAGAAGACCCACTTCGGCGCTACCAGCTAGAAAGCCCAGTGTCAAGGGTGCGGGGGCGCCGTCCCTCAGAAAGGTGGTACCCTCAAGTCAGCATTTTGCCTTTCCAAACGCCTCTAGAGGGTGGACTTCTTCCTCATTTGCAACTTACAACAACGGAGACGACCGACCATCTCTAGACTGAACACAGTTTGGACGAAGGGCAGAATGAGGCAGGCAGACCCAGGGTTCGGAAAGTGGCTCTCTCTCTTGGGATCTGCTCCCTGGCAAGATCAAGGGTAGCTGGGGTGGGGGCGGGGAGGAGACGGGGGTAAACAGAGGCAGAAGATCTGTCTCTGATCTCTGATCTTCTAACGTTCTGGCCCCCAGGCCACCATCACAGACACCAGCGCGACTCCCTCCTCAGATTTTTCAGGACTGGAACTGGGCAGAAATCTGGTGTATGCCGTTCACTCAGATCTTTGCTGCTCAGGGCATAGCCTTTATCCGTCTTGTTAGCAAAGCCACCTTCCCTGTCAGGCCTCAAAAGAGCCCCACCCAGCTCCGTTTGGGGCCACATGGTTTTCTTTGAAAGGCCCTGCTGTAACAGCAAGAATTAAGCTGGGTGTCCTTTTCTAAGTAAACAGGAAATATCACTCTGTTTGAAAAAAAAAAAAAGAAGAATCCCTCTCCTCAGCACAAATGCAATAATATGCCAACTTATATTTCCCGTGAATGTGAAGTCAGAAGCAGTATCTATTTCTTAGGGCAGCATAGGCTCCTCAACCTTCAGGGAGCAGGATCTCAGGGCGGCCCGGCTGCCGAGGACACTTCAACAACGCTTCCACTGACTGACTGTTGGGAGCCGGGAGCATCCCAGGTCGGAAGGGAAACAAGGCCTGAAAAACACTGCACACTCACATCTAAGGGGCAGGATGGTATGCATCTACATTTCAGTCACGGCAAGAGTTAGTGTTCTGCTATTTTACCACCTTTTGAGATCTGAAAAAAAAAAAAAAAAAAATCTGAAGCCTTGAGTCAGTCCGGAGGGTCGACACAGGGCAGGAGAAAGAAATGCAGTATTACGGATGGCTTGTTCCCCATTACATCAGGACCTGGGTTCGTGTGTCGGGCAGGCGCAAGCCCACCAGTCCTCCACACACCAGCACAGTGGAGGCCAGCAGGATGGGGATCGATTTGGTGAAGCTGACCAGGGAGCCGAATATTAAGTTTCCAAGGACGGCCGCTGCTTTGCATAGGGCATTCAAGAAGCCAAAACCTGTCGCCCTGCAAGGGGAAGAGACACAAGACAAGGTTGACAAAGTGACTTCCCAGATGCAGCCTTAAACACAAATGTCCTCAAGGACTGCCAAGAAGAGTTTTGTATCTCGTGAAGGCAAGTAATGGAATGCTTGCTAGCCCATCCGGAGGTAGAGAACCTCAGCTCTTGGTACTGGTCCTTCAGCCCTCTGCTGATTTTCTCCTCACCTTGACTGATTCTTATTCTGCCCAGAAGTTCCACTTTATCGTGAACAGAAAGAAAAAGGAAATTTCAGGGCAAAAAGTCTCTTCTCTCTTCCAGAGTTAAATTAAAAGACAGGACCATATATTTCTTAAGATTTTTTTTCCCCTCCCTCTTTCCTCATAGCTCCACTAACGTGTGAGGTTTTAAATAACTAAAATCATGGAATTTTCAGACCAAATCAGGGATGACTGGCTTGTGTTCCTCATCTTTCGGGTGCCGTAGAGGTGAATTATCATGCTCTCTCCACACATGTTTTGGGAGCAGGCAGACACCGAATGCTGAGCGGGGGGGCCACCAATGAGCTAACAGCACTTCCTCCATCCTCATCAGAGTTCTGTGTGGAAAATCACGTCCAGGAAAATATTACTGGGGAGAATCCGGTCATCGGCCTAGAGAAGCTCTTGCTCATTCTGCTGGTATTTGAGTGTGATTTTACTCTAGGAAACTTAATTTTGCTCATGAGGGTACTGACGTCACGACATACTATGAACGTCCTCGGCCTCTATGTCAGTTCACTTTCTTGTCCGTCATGGACACATCTGTGTGTTCAAGGCAAATTGAATGCAAGATCATTGTTGGACACCTTTTTCCCCCTCCAGAGGGAAGTGCATTTTATATGCTGTCAAATGTAGCATCCAGTACACCTCTTTCTTTGATTTGTAAATGGGTAAGTGTGGGCTTTCCTTCGGCCAGTCACAACTGCCCATCACTCTCTGAGCTGTTCCTAGTGCCATTTTGTACAGAGTGTAGATATTCATTGTGGTTATTATCCATCCGCCCCCCTTCCCACACCACAGAGAGGAATACGCTGAGTTCCTACAGAACTCAGCCTGTGACTCTGTCCAGGGCCAGTGACTTCACTGGTCAGTACGGACCTAAAAAGAGGTAGCAAGCGCTAACTTTCTTTCTGGCCAAGACACCTGGAAGGTAGAGTAGGCAGACCTCAGCCGTGTGGCAAAACTGCCAACTGTGTGGAATGTGGAAGGGGTGTAACAGAATCTCTGACAGAAAAACAGGAACTCCTTGAGAAGAGAGTAAGCTAATTTTATATGCTTCTTCTGGTTGGCTTGTTTTTAAATAGAGACTAGTAGTAGCAACGACCACTAGAAAGGTAAGATTTAATGTACTGACAACTATTTTCAAATGAAATTGCTGGAGGCGGGGCGCCTGGGTGGCTCAGTTGGTTAAGCAACTGCCTTCGGCTCAGGTCATGATCCTGGAGTCCCGGGATCGAGTCCCGCATCGGGCTCCCTGCTCGG